GTTGAGCTGCAGGAAGACATTCATCTGAAAACACAGCAACATGTCTTTAAGAGCTTTCTTGCTGGCGTTAGAGTTGTAGAATACGTGATAATATGTTATTCGTTTTAACTCAATTTATTTCGCATTAAGGTCACGTCTTGTATTTAATTCAGAGTGGCTTCAAAGTCTTTATTTAGTTTGAAGTAACCTGAAGAGATAATTAGTTTTATTAGACTCACACAAAGTAGTGATTTATTTGCACGGTTGTTGTTAAGAAGCTTATCATATCATTATTCAACATGAATAACCTTGAGGTGCTTTATTGCAGAATGAATTAGGGCTGTGCAATTAATCGTGTTTTAATCTCCAATAAAACGATTATTATTTAAAAAAATGTAATTATAGTTTTTTCAGTTGAATTCTACGTAAAGTTCAGGGTGTTGAAAACATACGGCTCAAATGTCTTTTCAATAAGTGGATGTTTTCAAAGTTAATCGTTTTTAATAATCGTGATATCAATTATTGACCAAAATAATCGTGATTATGATTCTCGCCATAATCGATGACTTGTTGTGTATGCTTGTTTTAATGAATGAGAATGATCTCCCTCAGACAGCAAGAGGATGGAAACGTGCTTTCATTTGACATTTTCTGTCTGTGGAGATATGGAAAACAATTGCACAATATTTGGCAGAAAAAAGTCATTGCTGCTTTTATTGAACCACAGATTCCCAGACAGGAATGTGTGTCATTGGCTCACTGTGTGTGTATCATTGGCTCACTGTGTGTGTGTCATTGGCTCACTGTGTGTGTGTCATTGGCTCACTGTGTGTGTGTCATTGGCTCACTGTGTGTGTGTCATTGGCTCACTGTGTGTGTGTCATTGGCTCACTGTGTGTGTGTCATTGGCTCACTGTGTGTGTCATTGGCTCACTGTGTGTGTGTCATTGGCTCACTGTGTGTGTCATTGGCTCACTGTGTGTGTCATTGGCTCACTGTGTGTGTGTCATTGGCTCACTGTGTGTGTGTCATTGGCTCACTGTGTGTGTGTCATTGGCTCACTGTGTGTGTGTCATTGGCTCACTGTGTGTGTGTCATTGGCTCACTGTGTGTGTGTCATTGGCTCACTGTGTGTGTGTCATTGGCTCACTGTTGTGGTGTCATTGGGCTCACTGTGTGTTGTCATTGGCTCACTGTGTGTGTATCATTGGCTCACTGTGTGTGTGTCATTGGCTCACTGTGTGTGGTCATTGGCTCACTGTGTGTGTGTCATTGGCTCACTGTGTGTGTGTCAATTGGCTCACTGTGTGTGTGTCAGTGGCTCACTGTGTGTGTGTCATTGGCTCACTGTGTGTGTTCATTGGCTCACTGTGTGTGTGTCATTGGCTCACTGTGTGTGTGTCATTGGCTCACTGTGTGTGTATCATTGGCTCACTGTGTGTGTCATTGGCTCACTGTGTGTATCATTGGCTCACTGTGTGTGTATCATTGGCTCACTGTGTGTGTGTCATTGGCTCACTGTGTGTGTATCATTGGCTCACTGTGTGTGTGTCATTGGCTCACTGTGTGTGTCATTGGCTCACTGTGTGTGTGTCATTGGCTCACTGTGTGTGTGTCATTGGCTCACTGTGTGTGTGTCATTGGCTCACTGTGTGTGTGTTTGTGTTGCAGAGACTCCAGAGAAGAGGCGCTGGGTGAATACTACATGAGGAAATACGCCAAGACCTCTGGAGGAGAGCAGTGAGTCCTCTCTTCCCGCTCCTGGGGACAATACGTCTCTTTATTAACAAAAACATCTGTTCCTCTTTGAGATGCAACAGAGCAGAGTCCAAATAGGGGCTTCTTTTACCCCGACAACGAAGCCAAGAATAGTAGAAGAAACTAAATGTGTCCAGAAGTTTAGACTTTAAGGTCTCTCAGCGAAACATGTAGTATTTTATATATAGATATGTATTATGCTCAGGGGATTTTCTAGGCAAGGCAAAACATTCTAGAAAAATATCAAAGTCAACTTTATTGTCAATCTCAAAATATGTTTGCACACACAGGAAGATCGAAATACAGTTTCCCACAGTGCCGAGGTATTTAAAATGCAGAAACACTCAATATTTACCAAAAAAACACACATTCAAATACAAGATGTCGTTGTGTCCCTGAGACCCTTCAAAGTGCTCCCGTGCACAGTATTGAGTATGGAAGCGTCTAACAAGAACACTCAATAATGACCAAAATAACACAAAATAACTAATGGCATGAGGGCGCTAGCGTCACTTCCGGTTGATATACTTTTTTTTATTAACGTTATGTGACAACTAGGATGGGTATCGTTAAGGTTTTAACGGTACTACTACTTCTATCGATCCGGTCCTTTAACGGTTCCTTTGGAGAGAAAATTAACATTGCTTTTTTATTTCAATTTAAGAAACGAGCTGGCGACACTCGGGGTTCTTACGGTCATTAAAAACCTGGAAAAGTCATGGAAATTCAAAATGCTAATTCCAGGCCCTGAAGAAGTGATCGTTATGACATCATGAAGTGTCCAAAATCTGATCAGCTCGTTTTCAGACAGGTTTTTATAGAAATGGATCAAAAAGAGAGAGGGTCTTTAGTAGTTATTAGATTTTCCTGATGAGGTAACTTTCCCTCATTTTCTATTAATTTCTTCTATTTCATTTGATATTTATTTGTGGACCTTTACTCAAACGCCGCATACACCTGATCAGGAATTTATTATTTTAAATGATATATTTACATGTGATGGTAATCCTGTTTCTTCTTCTGTGGTGCGCAGTTTCGCTGGAGGGTCGGAGGAGCTTTCTGATGACATCACACAGCAGCAGCTACTTCCTGGAGTCAAGTATGTGATGAACCAATCAGCATCGAGAACAACTTGTAGATTATAGTTTTAAATTAATGTTAACATTTGTTTGTCGTCGACAGGGATCCCAATCTGTGGACGGTCAAGTGTAAGGTGTGTGTCCTGTCACACACACACACACACACACACACACACACACACACACACACACACACACACACGTCATCACAACTTAATGTACAGATTCTCACACACACACACACACACGCACACACACACACACGTCATCACAACTTAATGTACAGATTCTCACACACACACACTCACACACACACACACACACGCACGCACACACACACACACACACACACACGTCATCACAACTTAATGTACAGATACACACACACACACACACACTCAGTAATGTAGTCCTGTGTTGTCAGATTGGAGAGGAGAGGGCGACGGCCATCGCTCTGATGAGGAAGTTCGTCGCCTACCAGTTCACCGACACGGTAAGAAACTTTAATTTACTCGTTAATTTTCTAACTGGTCCTCTCTGATTGGTTGGAGGTTCATTTCTTAGCGAGCATCTTCCTATACCTCCACTTTACAACAAACTCAATCCAACTGTTGAGTCTTTGTTACGCTCCCAGACTCCGAGGGGTGAAACGCTTTGATTTCTTCAACACAAACCTGCTTTTTTCTAAGTTGAATGACATTGGAAAGCAGTTAAATAGCCGGTTACCGGTGGTTTAGAAGAAAAAAAAATTGGCGAATGGTTAGGTGGCGAGAAAGTCTGTAGTGAAGGAGCGCGCTGCCGCACGGGGCTCTACTCCGCAGCAAACAGCTGGTCGCTTTTCTCCCAACAACCGCATCACGAAACGCTATGTTAATAACAGCGTTAATAACATTTAACACAATTGCTAAAATACTGATACCACAGGACCATTTCTTTTTTTTTTTTTAAAGCAATGTTTTTAGTGGCAAGTGGAAAGTGCGTTCTGCTGGCCCGGGGGTCTAAATTAGGGTTGCCAGAAACTGACCATGATCAAAATCGATCTATATTCGGCAGCCCCCTTGAAGTGAAGTTGGTAATGGCCGGCTGTGCTGCGTCTTTCTCTGTAACCTCTTTGGCGTGCTTCGTACTCAAATGCGAACGCATTGTTGAGGTTGAGCTGTGATAGACCAACGTCTTTTCACAGAGCTTGCATTTAACTTCCTTTGGACTTGTGAGTTCGAAGTAGTTCCACGAGGAGGAACTCTTTTTACCTGCCGCTTTGTTCATCTTTAGTCGCACGAGTGAGGGAGAGGGGGGGGGGGGGTGGGGGCGGTGTGTAGCGTGCTGCAGCAGCAGTCTGCTCTGCACGCAGGCTTCCTCCAAGTGTACAGAAAAACAAACTGGTGGTGTGACCAATGGCCATTTACAATTACTAATACTATTACTATTATTAGCATTATTCTATATTTTGGTTGAAACTAAGCCAGAAAAAAAACAAATATATATTCATAAATAATAATAATAAAATATATAAATAAAATCGATTTTTAAAAATGATATTCGATTATGGAGACTGTAACGAATATTCAAATAATCGAATAATCACTGGCATCCCTAGTCTAAATAGTGCTTCCGGGCCATTTATAATGTCGAGCCTTGGAAAAAGAGATATTATGTGAAAAATCAAGAAAAACATGGATTTAAAGACTCAGTCATGTTCTTCTGTTTAGGAGCGCTCCTGTATGTTTGGTCCTCTCAGGTTTTTATATTCCCCTCTCCACAGCCGCTGCAGATAAAGTCGGTGGTGGCCCCGGATCACGTGAAAGGCTACATCTACGTGGAGTCGTACAAACAGACGCACGTGAAGGCGGCCATCGAGGGCATCGGGAACCTGAGGATGGGTCTGTGGAACCAGCAGATGGTGCCGATCAAAGAGATGACCGACGTGCTGAAGGTCGTCAAGGAGGTCACCAACCTCAAGCCCAAGTCCTGGGTGCGGCTCAAGAGAGGCCTGTACAAGGACGACATCGCTCAGGTACGCACACACACACACAAACACACACACACACACACACTCACTCACTCACTCACCGGTTTATATGAAAAACAGTATAACCTTTAAATGTATTTATTGAGAGGATGTAATGAGCTGCTCCTGTGTCCTTCCTCTCCAGGTGGACTACGTGGAGCCGAGTCAGAACACCATCTCTCTGAAGATGATTCCCCGCATAGACCTGGACCGCATCAAGGCCAAGATGAGCCTGGTGGGGAACACACACACACACACACACACACACACACACACACACACACACACACACACACACACACACACACACACACACACACACACAGACTTTACCCCCTCTTTATTCTCCGTACTGATGGTTGTGTGACTGTGTCCTGCAGAAAGACTGGTTCGCTAAGAGGAAGAAGTTCAAGAGACCCGCTCAGAGGCTGTTTGATGCTGAGAAGATCAGGTACACACACACACACACACACACACACGTATATTCACCTACAGAATGTCACAATGTCAAATGTAACCAACCAGGAAGAGACTCAAAAGCACTACAGAAAAATGCAAGAGATTCAGAACGGCTTTGGAAATTGGCAAAACGACAGAAGAGACACAATGTGACTACAAAGAGTTCAAGAACATGTAAAACAGCTGCAAAGAGACACAGAAGACTACACAAGGACAATAAAGAGTGGACAAACAACCACAAAAAGAGACACAAAGATCACTCGAGAGACACTAAATGAATATGGAGCAACCAATAGCGACACACATGGATTACGAAGAGACAAACATGACTAATATGTAAAACAGCTGCTAAGAGACAGGAACGGCCACAAAGAGACACAAGAATCACTGGAGAGACGGCAACTAATCACACAATGAATTAAAGCAGGGGTGGGGAACCTCCGGCCGCAATATAATTAAACAAGCAACTGCCTGTTTCCCCATACATCCATGGTTTTTCCTGGTGAAGTTCAGGTTCCTTGAACGCAACACGAGCGTAACGTGGCATGTCACGTCTTCGAGACTTCAGTGTCACTATTATTAATAGCAGCGGACTTAATATGGCGAGTATCAAAAAGAGAAAGGTGGATATGTCGGATATTCCAGGGAAAATGGACGAATGACTATTTCTTCGTCGAAAGTAAAAGGCAAGCCAGTGTGCCTCGTTTGCTGTAATGAAAAAGGCTAATATCGAGCGGCATTACAGAAACATGCACAAATGGACGATCTGAAAGGCTAGTTTGGATAAGCTCAGCGCTCTTCGGCGGAGTTTGGTGTCCCAACAAGCGGTTTTCGCAAGACCACAGGCTAACCAAGACCACAGGCTAACCAAGACCACAGGCTAACCAAGACCACAGGCTAACCAAGACCACAGGCTAACCAAGACCACAGGCTAACCAAGACCACAGGCTAACCAAGACCACAGGCTAACCAAGACCACAGGCTAACCAAGACCACAGGCTAACCAAAACCACAGGCTAACCAAGACCACAGGCTAACCAAGACCACAGGCTAACCAAGACCACAGGCTAACCAAGACCACAGGCTAACCAAGACCACAGGCTAACCAAGACCACAGGCTAACCAAGACCACAGGCTAACCCAAGACCACAGGCTAACCCAAGACCACAGGCTAACCCAAGACCACAGGCTAACCAAGACCACAGGCTAACCAAGACCACAGGCTAACCCAAGACCACAGGCTAACCCAAGACCACAGGCTAACCCAAGACCACAGGCTAACCCAAGACCACAGGCTAACCAAGACCACAGGCTAACCAAGACCACAGGCTAACCCAAGACCACAGGCTAACCAAGACCACAGGCTAACCAAGACCACAGGCTAACCAAGACCACAGGCTAACCAAGACCACAGGCTAACCCAAGACCACAGGCTAACCAAGACCACAGGCTAACCAAGACCACAGGCTAACCAAGACCACAGGCTAACCCAAGACCACAGGCTAACCAAGACCACAGGCTAACCAAGACCACAGGCTAACCAAGACAACGTCACGCACGTTAGTTTTGTTTTAAGTGAGCTAATCGCCAACAAAATGAAGCCGCATTCAGATGGTGAATTTGTAAAGGAGTGCCTTGTTGCCGCCGCGGAGGTTCTCGCACCAGATAAATTAAAAGTGTCCAAAGTATTAGTTTGTCCCTGTGTCGGATCGGATTACTGACATGGCACAAGACATTGAAAAAACTCTGAAGGACACCGCAAGAGATTTCGAGTTTTTCTCTTTGGCCTGTGACGAGACAACGGACATAACTAATACCGCCCAATTAGCCATTTCTGTGCGAGGGATTACATCTGCTTTTGATACTCGGGAGGAAATGCTGTCTCTGCAAGCATGCATGGCACTACCAGAGGAGAGGATTCGTTCGAACAAGTTGTTTTGGCCATGAACAAATTTGACCTGCAGTTTGACAAGTTAAAGGGGACCTATCATGCAAAATGCACTTGTGTACGTCTTTTATACGTGAATATGTGTCCCCGGTGTTCCAGGGAACTCACCAAGTGTCAGAAAACACAACCCTCTCTCTTTTCCTCCATACCCAAATCTCTAAAAAAGGGGCTGAACACTGTCCTGACGTCAGGACGGTGGCGCTCCGCCTATATGGCCAACTCTCCACCTATCAGGGGAATGTGGGGTTGGGCCACCGCCGGCCATTGCCGCTCGAAAGCGCTGGAGACGCTGTAGTACATATGCCAGGCCTGTAAGTGGCGCTGTAGTCTTCCACAAAAGCAGCGAAGAAGACTTTCCGCGCATGGTTGCCATGGTTGCCCTTCTGTTTATTCTCCGCTGTGGCTCTTTTTCTCCCTCCCCGAGGCATGCGTTTGCTGCTGTAATTCAATGCAATCCCTCCCCGTCGAGGCAAGCGCTGTAATTCTCTCCGGTTAGTCCACCAGCAGATGACAAACACCCACCTCTCCGCCTCTTCCAAGGAACGAGGGGGGTCAACATGTCCGTTAAAGTTTAAATCTTCCGGACAAAATTAGAAAAGTGCCGGTCAAAGGTCTTCTTTGTTATTTATTGAGCTTTAAAACAAATGAATAACGACTCTATATAATAATATAATAAAACACAGAGGACAGAGATCTCTTTTTCTCCCCCTCTTTTCCCCGCTGCAGCCCAGCAGCTGATCTCAAAGCACGCTCCCCTCTCCTGCAGGGGGGCGTGGTCAGTTGCAGGGGGCGTGGTCAGCCACAGGGGGGCGTGGTCAGCTGCAGCTCACAGAATCAGCCCCGGCAAAAACAGGGCTGGAAAGAGCAAATCGAGCGAAATGAGGCATGGCTAAAATGCAGGATCTGTTTGGTAACAGAAACGTATAAATATACCTTATATAGGTATGGCCCTACAATATATCATTTAAATATAGCATGACAGGTGTCCTTTTAATTATGAATGTTGTTACATCAAGGACGAAAATTAAATTAAATCTGACCTGCAGTTTGACAAGTTAAGTGGCCTGGCGACAGACGGCGCCCCCGCCATGGTGGACGTGCAGAAAGGACTGACTGCATTGGTCAGAAAGGAAATGAGTCGTCTCGATCCAAATGAGTTGGTTGTATGTCACTGTATCATACATCAAGAGGACCTGTGTGCACATTCCCTGAGGCTCAACAATGTTATGCATACCGTTGTTTCCACCATACACTTCATTAAAAGCAGAGGACTAAACAGTCGCCAGTTCGGCAGCTACTGAGAGAGCTTGAGTCGGAGCACGGAGATCTGATTTATCATTGTGATGTGCGCTGGCTGAGTCACACAAGTATGCTTGCATGGTTTTACGAGTTGAGGGAAGAGGTCAAACAGTTCACTGAAATGAAGGGGAAACCAGTCGTGGAACTCAGTGATAGCAAGTGGCGCTGTTGCGGCTTTCACACCAGCGCTTTTCCCTTTCTAGCTCCGAGCGGGAGCTTTTCTGGTTCAGCTCCGGTTTCCCTTTTCTGCTCCCGCTCTGTTCACACCGCCCAGCACCCGACTGGTGCTGCCGCTGCTGCGTCATGACGTCACCGTTTACATCGCTGATTTGCTCCCCAACGGCATTACGGCGCTCACAACAACAACAACAACTGCGTCGGGTCGATGATCGTGTTGCTTTTAATCACACGAAGCCAGAATAAATTGAATAACGACTTCTCCAACCTTATACTTTGCTCCAGAGTGCCGTGGTTCATTGTTTATTAATGTGTTTCTGCAGCATTTACCGACCGCTGCAGTGTTGGCTGCTCTTCTACGGGAGTTTATTCTCCTCCGTTAGCTCCCGGTTAGCTCACACTGCCGCGGCCGCTCTAAAGTATTCACTGTCCGACTCACACAAGCAGCTGATACATATCCCCAGTTCCCCTTAGCCTAAGTGAACGTGTGTCAGTCTGAATTGACGCTGTTTGGTATCACAACGCTGTTATGAAAGTTTCTCTGGTATAAAATGGGTGATGTTAGCATAGCAACCGAAGCTAAACTGACTACTTGCTATTGCTATCCTATTGTGGCATAAACCGTTTTCTACAGGCACATTTTACCGGCGTATTTTTATTATGATTCTACTTGTGATAGTCGGACACGACAACCTGTGCAGCCCATGTATTGATTCCATCCGATAGCTGCTATAATACAAAACAACACGTCTGCGTCTCCACAATGATCAATAACAATGAACGGATGGTCAAAGTAAGGTACAAGTAAACAGAATCACACGAAGCCTGGTTAGTGTTGCCTGACTTTATAAAGTGTGTTTATAAGCACTACTGCTTGTAGGCAGGCATGACAGTCGACCCATGTTCAGGGGAGGAGGGTTTAGTTTCCTGCACGCCTCGACGTAAGAGAGACGTAAGCGACGCCACCTCTTAGCTCCGAAGCGCTTGCCTCTAGACCGACAATTTTTTGGAGCTGGAAGTGAACCGGATTCCGGAGCTAAGAGCCGGCGCCGTTGCGGTGTGAACAGGAAAAACCGGCGCTTTTCAGGCTCCAGCCGGAGCTGGAAAAGCGCTGGTGTGAAAGGGGCATGTGATTTGGGCTTCACGGAGCTGAACGTCAAACTTCAAGGTCCTAATCAGCTTTTCAGCTCTGTGCTTTCAAATGTGAAATCATTTGAAGCTAGACTAAAGCTGTGGCAACTGGAGAAGGGAAACACTGTGCACTTTCCCACTCTGCAAGAACAAAAGCCTGCGGTGCCCTCTGAGTATGCTGGTGAGTGTGCAAAACTACATCAGGCCTTCAGAGAGAGGTTCCAGGACGTGAACCGTTACCAGAAGGAACTTTGTTGCAACACCGTTCGATGTGGAACCAGCTGATGTGCCTGGAAACCTACAGCTGGGAATCATTGAGCTGCAAAGCAACATGAGCTCAAAGCTAGGTACCACAACCTCCCTCTGCTTGAGTTCTACAAAGTGTGTGTGGGGGCTGAGGATTTTCCCATTCTAACGGAGCGTCCACACTAGGGATGGGAATTTGAAAGCAAATGTATATTCGAATATTCGACCCCCCAAAAAACGGTTAACCGAAATGTACATATCCTAAAAAAAACGCTCCACGTCGCTTCCCAAAATGCAGTTCAGCTAAAAGTGACGTCACCCATTCAAAGTGAATGGGCAGAAGCGTTGGAAGCTTGTGTGTGTGTGTGTGTGTGTGTGTGTGTGTGTGTGTGTGTGTGTGTGTGTGTGTGTGTGTGTGTGTGTGTGTGTGTGTGTGTGTGTGTGTGTGTGTGTGTGTGTGTGTGTGTGTGTGTGTGTGTGTGTGTGTGTGTGTGTGTGTGTGTGTGTGTGTGTGTGTGTGTGTGTGTGTGTGTGTGTGTGTGTGTGTGTGTGTGTGTGTGTGTGTGTGTGTGTGTGTGTGTGTGTGTGTGTGTGTGTGTGTTGCAGTGACTAACAGCTGGTGTTTGATTGACAGGTCCCTCGGGGGGGAGGTCAGCCACGATGGAGACTTCATGATCTTCGAGGCGAACCGTTACAGCCGGAAAGGATTTCTGTTCAAGAGCTTCGCCATGTCTGCTGTGGTAAGGACACACACACACTAGGGCTGCACGATATATCGTGTCGTGACGATAATCGCGATATTCACATCGCGTGGACCTGCGTTTTTTTATTTTTTTTTAGGACGTGTGATATTAAGTAGGCAAATTAACTCAAACACCTCATGTTACAATTATTTTTGCTGCTTGCTACCTGAGTGAGTGACATGCCGGCTCTGCGTGCACAGCAAACCACAATCAAATCTCCAAAACAAACGGACCCGGAGATTAAAAGGTAGAAACACTGAATGAAGTCGTTTCCTGTGTTTCTCCAGGGCAGTTCGGCGCTGCTAGCCGAGCTAGCTCAGCTAGCCGAGCTAGCTCAGCTTGTTGCTCTGATAACTGAGGCCCATTCCCAAACCGCCCCCTACTCCTCCGTTTGCGCGTTCACGCGGAGGGTCCGCCATATTGAGGGCTGTTCCAAAGCAACGAGTGTGGAGCGGTGTGGAGGGGGAGTGCGCTATCAAGCCCTCAAACAGCGAGTCTGCAGCGGTGCTGACTTGAGACCGGTCTCTACCTGACCGGAGTCACGCTGTGTGTGTCCGTCAGGAAACACGCTGTTTACAAGTAGTTCCAGCAAACATCCACTGATAAACTGCGATGTTAACAACCTCATGATGACCTCATATGTTTTTAACTTAGGATCAAACCTGTGTTTAGTCTAGAAAAAGGTAAATGTGTGCATTTTATTATAAAGTTGTGTATATTTACAGACCGTTGCAAAAACTAAGAAGCTTATAAACATCAGGTTTCAAACTAAAAGAGCTTTGAAACACAATGAAAGATGTTTGGAGTTTTATTTGAGTTATTCATTTAAACTTTTTGTCTAAGAGATGCTTATGTGAAACCGTTGTTACATTCAGTTACGGCACTTCCTGTTTCTGCGGAGAGAGGGGAAGCCGTCCCAAAGCTTGCTGCTGTGTTTACTCCCTCTGACAGGAGGAGCCTCGTTGAGCTGCGAGTGTGGCTCCAGACGGAGTTCACTCCGTCACGGAGGGGTAGGGTCGAGGGAGTGGTTTGGGATTGGGCCTTAAGATCCAGACGTCCGTGACTAAAATCCATCATCCGGTTAAATATAGTTACAAAAATACCAATTGTATTTAATTAAAGTTCAAGAAAGGATGGTTTGCGGAAAAAAAACAAAAAAAACGGTATTTTCTTCAATTCCTTGTTTTCATATCGCAATATATATCGCAGGGGGGAAAAAATCGCAATGGCAGTTTTTTCCAATATTGTGCAGCCCTAACACACACACACACACACACACACACACACACACACACACACACACACACACACACACACACACACACTGCCTCGTTACTCTTCCCCTGATCATCAGCTGTTGTTTCTTCTCAGATCACAGACGGAGTGAAACCCACTCTCTCTGAGCTGGAGAAGTTTGAGGATCAACCTGACGGCATCGACCTGGAGGTGGTCACTGAGTCAGGTGTGTGTGTGTGTGTGTGTGTGTCATTAATTATTATTAATATAATTGAATTTCATTTTTGATTGTAATCGTTTCACTACTATCTGCTCATTTTATGGACATAGGAATCCATTTGTTGTTACGCCACTAGTCATTTGTGTTTCATTTTTTTAATCTATATTCCTATAAATTGAAATGCAAACGGAGAAAGCTGTTTGCAATTTTAGGAAAGAAATGTAAATTCTAATTTAGTTTAAAACAGCTGTGACCCGCTCTATGGAAATCAGTCGGAAGTCTCAACGGCTCATTTCAAAATAAACGTGGATTTGCGTAAAAAACTAGTTTTTCGGGGTTCGGTGTTTTGTTTGATTTTAAATAAACAAAGTCTTGGCTTTCAGAATATGAAACTTTTATTTCCAACATCACCCGATAAATACATGTTTGAAGCTCGTAAAGGGACGAAGACAGCTCTCCCTCGCACTCTGCTGTTCCGCAGCCCCGCCCCCCCTCCCTCCGCTGACATTATGAATGCAAGGCATATAGTAATCATAGACGGGGTTCTTACGGTCATTAACAACCTGGAACAGTCATGGAAATTCTAAATGCTAATTCCAGGCCCTGGAAAAGTCCTGGAAATCAATATTTTTCCCAAAGTTTTGGAAAAGTCATGGAAATGTAACTAAAGTTGCATCAAATATAATTTATATTTGATCTAATCGCCCGAAATAGTAATACTATAATGATAATAAATATTGTATGGTTTAGTAATGAAACGTAAAATGGCTTTTAACTGACGAGGTGTTTAGCTGGTGAGAGATTGTAGAAGCTAGTAAGCCTATTGGATTCAGACCTTATTTTCCTGTTCCATGTTAAAATAAACCATTTCAGTGGAACCGCTGAAAGAGTAATTATTTTGGTCATGGAAACTTAGGTAAAGGTCCTGGAGAAGTCATGGAAAATCATTGGTGTAAAAGTGTATGAACCCTGCATAGATATCACAGCAGGGTCCGTGACAGTTTGTTTTCATCTGGTTTCAATTAAGCAAAGTCTTGGCTTTCAGAATATTAAACTTGTTTCGGCAAATTCAGAAGATAAATACAGCTTTGAAGCTTCGGCATAATTACAAGCGGAGAACGGAGTAACTTGACGTCACAGCAGGCGTAACAACAGCCGGTGTTTCTCCTGAGGGTTTCCCCGGGAAACAAACACAATACACACAAATGCAAAATTACACACACACACACACGTATACACACACACACACACACACACACACACACACACACACACACACACACACACTCGCGAGCTTCCCCCAGACCAGTAATCCAAACGAAAATATCTTCCCTCCGTAGTATTTTGATCAATTGCTCCGCTAACCAATCAGATGGATGGATTTCAGAGAGGAGGAAACTTTGAAGGCCTTTTTCTCAACATGACGACTCGGTGACAGTCATCATATAATGTGACATATTTCGCTTAATATTTGGAGTACAACAACAATCCTGATATCATTAGAAAGCTAGGAATCTCCTCTTTCCAGCAGTGTATTCAACTCAAAATGTGTCTCCGGGTCAATGCGACTGATTTCGATGGAGCAGGTCACAAATATGTATAACTTAAACCGCTGATGGTGCATATAATTACTATATTAAACGTAATGCTGTCAAAATTATCGCGTTAACGCGGTAATTCATTTTTTGAATTAATTGCGTTCAAATATTTAACGCATGTGCAGAATGGCCCGCCCCATACGTCCCAACAGTGGCAGCGCCAGGGTATGGCTGGGGTAGGCTACACCCATACCAAGAAATGGCTTAGCCCCACCATGAAAAATGATGTTAAAGTAAGCAAAATAAAGTCTGCCAACTCTCGCCGAGAATTGCACAGACAGCAGTTAGTAAGATTGATTTCAGCAGCCACTTGTCTGGAAATACCGAAGACCAGAAACGGTTTTGAAAACTTTTGTCACGTAGTGATCGTCTTCTCAATAGAACATCTTTGATAATGTCTTCTGGCCAATCAGAATCAAGATAACGGCGTGGTGTTGTTGCAGGAAGTCCCGACGGAGAATACTTTTGCTGTAGTACAGGGATGCACTAACTGGTACACAGGTTATGTGCGTAATCTGAAATGCGTAATCTGAAATGCGTACTGTCTGTCACTTGTGTCTCAAAGCGCATTTGCGTACCGACGTACTTGTGAAGCTTTTCCAGAAGGCGGTTAGATCACCGGACGACAGAGTCGGTCTCCGTGTGCACAGACAGGGCTGCTGTTAACGTCGGTCTGTACAACGGAATTGTGCCAACACTACCCCAACCGGCTGCGGAGGGAGACTCCCCCCCCTTCACTGGAGAACTGCGCTAAAACAGCTGATCACAACGTTCACACTCTGTGGTCACGAAGTACTCCACTAGCCCCCCCCGTCGACTTTCCTGAAGTACTCCCCCGTTGATAGAAATCAACACGTAATTAATTAAGACCCCACGGTTTGATGATTGATAGGTGTGTGGGCTGTCTTTCATTTTGACACGCAGAAAATGTTGTAATAAACATACATACTGTACACAGTTAAATGGATATATCCGCCTTCTTTCATTTATCTTTCCATTCCCACAACAATATACATAAAGAAATGGCATATTTTGGACATAGTTCGAATGGTGATTAATCTGATTAATTAATTTTTAAACTGATTAATCTGATTAAAAATGTTAATCGTTTGACAGCCCTAATATATATATATATAAAAATGCCACCCTCCAGGCCTATAAGATCAAACCCTGCAGCATCTTATCTCTCTTGCTCTCAACTTTCTGGCTGTCTCCATTCAGGAGGTAAAACTTTTTTTTTCTTTGAGATGGAAAACTACTGCTCAAGGCTTTTGAAGTGCACTCAAGATTAATTTAAACTGGAACAAGAAATTCTATTGCTGTAGGCGGCAGTTTGTGACATAGAGCAGTTTTTCCCTGACAATAAATATTCATATATTTTCCTTACAGGCACCTTAGAGCAGGGGTGGGAAACCTCCCTATAATAATATAATCTGATTAATTCATTTTTAAACTGTGATTAATCTGATTAAAAATGTTAATCGTTTGACAGCCCTAATTAAAAGTAATGCATTGTAATTCGCTTGTTCATTTGTCGGCCGTCATTATTTATTGTGTGTGTGTGTGCGCGCAGGTAAGGAGCGTGAACACAACCTGCAGGCTGGAGACAACGTGGAGGTGTGTGAGGGAGAGCTGATCAACCTGCAGGGAAAAATCCTCAGTGTGGACGGAAACAAGATCACCATCATGCCCAAACACGAAGACCTGAAGGTACACACACACACACACACACACACACACACACACACACGCTCAAAATCATACACACACACTCACTCAAAATCACACGTGCGCACACACACACACACACACACACACACGCTCAAAATCATACACACACACGCACACACACGCTCAAAATCATACACACACACTCACTCAAAATCACACACACACACGCACACACACACACACGCTCAAAATCATATACACACACTCACTCAAAATCACACACACACACACACACACTCACTCAAAATCATATACACACTCACTCAAAATCACACACACACACACACACACACACACACACACACACACACACACACACACACACACACCTCTACCAACACAATTCTACCTTTAACTTTTGACTAAGACCACCATAACCCCCCCCTGTGATGGTAAATACTGAGTGTGTGTTTTCTCCCAGGACCCCCTGGAGTTCCCGGCTCACGAGTTGAGGAAATATTTCCGTATGGGCGACCACGTGAAGGTGATCGCGGGTCGATACGAGGGCGACACCGGCCTCATCGTCAGGGTGGAGGAGAACTTCGTCATCCTCTTCTCTGACCTCACCATGCACGAGGTAACCAGTCCTCATCAACATGTGTCCCCTCTTCTTCATGTCTCTTCCTCATCAACATGTGTCCCCTCTTCTTCATGTCTCTTCTACATCAACATGTGTCCCCTCTTCTTCATGTCTCTTCTACATCAACATGTGTGCCCTCTTCCTCATGTCTCTTCTACATCAACATGTGTCCCCTCTTTTTCATGTCTCTTCTACATCAACATGTGTCCCCTCTTCTTCATGTCTCTTCTACATCAACATGTGTCCCCTCTTCTTCATGTCTCTTCTACATCAACATGTGTGCCCTCTTCCTCATGTCTCTTCTACATCAACATGTGTCCCCTCTTTTTCATGTCTCTTCTACATCAACATGTGTCCCCTCTTCTTCATGTCTCTTCTACATCAACATGTGTCCCCTCTTCTTCATGTCTCTTCTACATCAACATGTGTCCCCTCTTCTTCATGTCTCTTCTACATCAACATGTGTCCCCTCTTCTTCATGTCTCTTCTACATCAACATGTGTCCCCTCTTCTTCATGTCTCTTCTACATCAACATGTGTCCCCTCTTCTTCATGTCTCTTCTACATCAACATGTGTCCCCTCTTCTTCATGTCTCTTCTACATCAACATGTGTCCCCTCTTCTTCATGTCTCTTCTACATCAACATGTGTCCCCTCTTCTTCATGTCTCTTCTTCATCAACATGTGTCCCCTCTTCTTCATGTCTCTTCTTCATCAACATGTGTCCCCTCTTCTTCATGTCTCTTCTACATCAACATGTGTCCCCTCTTCTCCATGTCTCTTCTACATCAACATGTGTCCCCTCTTCTTCATGTCTCTTCTTCATCAACATGTGTCCCCTCTTCTTCATGTCTCTTCTACATCAACACGTGTCCCCTCTTCTTCATGTCTCTTCTTCATCAACATGTGTCCCCTCTTCTTCATGTCTCTTCTACATCAACATGTGTCCCCTCTTCTTCATGTCTCTTCTACATCAACATGTGTCCCCTCTTCTTCATGTCTCTTCTACATCAACATGTGTCCCCTCTTCTTCATGTCTCTTCTACATCAACATGTGTCCCCTCTGTGGAAAGAAACTCTGAAAGTTTCAGGAACAAAGATTCTCTCTCTTTTTGATCCATTTCTATAAAAACCTGTCTGAAAATGAGCTGATCAGATTTTGGCCACTTTATGATGTCATAACGATGTTTTGTCTTGTGTAACCATTAGCCAATCAGCAACCAAGGTAACCCCCCCCCCCCCTTATCACCTGAATCTCCTCCTAGAGCACCATTGAGTTCTTTGTAACCAAATGTCTCTCAGAGGGGCGTGGGGAGGGGCTCCTTATTTTCATCTGAAGTAACAGACAGAGAATCAGCACTTTGGAAACAGAGGGGATTATGGGTAATGCTGCAATGATCTGTTTGGTGTTTCAGCCAATCAGAGACAGGCTCTGGATATATAGGGGACCTTTAAGTGAAAACTAAAATGGTCATCCAATGTTGTGTGTGTGTGCAGTTGAAGGTGTTACCCAGAGACCTGCAGCTCTGCTCGGAGACGGCTTCCGGGGTGGATGCGGGGGGGCAGCACGAGTGGGGGGAGCTGGTGCAGCTCGACCCTCAGACGGTCGGGGTCATCGTCCGTCTGGAGAGGGAGACGTTCCAGGTAACAGGGCTGAAACGGGGGATATGAGGGATGTCTCTAATTAATTATCCGTTTGGTATTTTGAGCAAATGTTTTTTTAAATATATTTGTATATGTCTGACACCCATCATATATGACTGAAAAGAGTACAATAGGAGACCTTTAAGGTTTGAACTTATTCGATAGAGCTGTATGGTTCTGAAACCCCTTGTGCGCTCTCAGGTGCTGAACATGCACGGGAAGGTGATGACGGTGAAGCATCAGTCGGTGAACCGCAGGAAGGACAACCGCTTCGCCGTGGCTCTGGACTCGGAGCAGAACAACATCCACGTCAAGGACATCGTCAAGGTCATCGACGGCCCACACTCGGTGAGGATCCTTTCTGTCTCGATAAACTCAATATGTATCTCCAGCTCACATACCTCCCAGAGCTGAGATGCTGCAGCAGCTTGTCACATGTTCACCCAATGACACGACGTTAAATAACAGGACTGCATTGGTTTGGTTGTTCTGTGACTAAGATGAGAATAAAATAAGTAAAATGAGACACACACTCAGTCAGGACCAGAGTTCATTTCTGTTCTGTCTCAATAAACTATGTATCTAAATGTCACATACTTAACTGCTTTAGTGAGATCACATCTAGAAACTGATTTGAGTATATTTTGAAACTAGACTGAAATTGCTAGTTTTCTTTGGACTGATTTAAGTCTTGAAGGTCCCATGTCACGGCCATTTCCCCTGATCATAGTTCCATTGTTGAGGTCTACTAGAATAGATGTATATTGTGCAATGTTCCAAACTCACTTTGGTTTCTCAGCATCTCTGTAAACTACGTGTATTCACTGAATTTCACTCTCTGCCTTTAACGGCTCGTTGTAGCTCCAGCCCCCCCCCTCCCTGTGAGCACAGTGTGCTCTGATTGGTCGGGACGTTGTGAATCGCGCTGAGCTCCGTGGAGGTGTGGTTTCCTTGTTTAGCGACAGCGAAACACAGCCAAACTCATCCTGAGCACACACAAAGTCACAGCCGAAGTAAAAACAATAAGTGTGGCTTGATATTGAGTCAGAAAAAGGTTGATAAACGCTGTGAGAATGGGTCTGCAGAGAGAATGGGTCTGCAGAGAGAACGGGTCTGCAGAGAGAACGGGTCTGCAGAGAGAATGGGTCTGCAGAGAGAACGGGTCTGCAGAGAGAACGGGTCTGCAGAGAGAACGGGTTTGCAGAGAGAACGGGTCTGCAGAGAGAACGGGTCTGCAGAGAGAACGGGTCTGCAGAGAGAATGGGTCTGCAGAGAGAATGGGTCTGCAGAGAGAATGGGTCTGCAGAGAGAATGGGTCTGCTGTGAGAACGGGTCTGCAGAGAGAATGGGTCTGCAGAGAGAACGGGTCTGCAGAGAGAATGGGTCTGCAGAGAGAACGGGTCCGCAGAGAGAACGGGTCTGCAGAGAGAACGGGTCTGCAGAGAGAACGGGTCTGCAGAGAGAACGGGTCTGCTGTGAGAACGGGTCTGCAGAGAGAACGGGTCCGCGGTGAGAACGGGTCCGCGGAGAGAACGGGTCCGCGGAGAGAACGGGTCCGCGGAGAGAACGGGTCCGCGGAGAGAACGGGTCCGCGGAGAAAACGGGTCCGCGGAGAAAACGGGTCCGCGGAGAGAACGGGTCGCGGAGAGAACGGGTCTGCAGAGAGAACGGGTCGCGGAGAGAACGGTCGCGGAGAGAACGGGTCTGCAGAGAGAACGGGTGCGGAGAAAAACGGGTCCGCGGAGAGAACGGGTCCGCGGAGAGAACGGGTCCGCGGAGAAGAGGGAAAACGGGTCCGCGAGAGAAAACGGGTCCGCGGAGAAAGGGAGAGAAAACGGGTCGCGGAGAGAACGGGTCCGCGGAGAGAACGGGTCCGCGGAGGAACGGGTCCGCGAGAAGAAAACGGGTCCGCGGAGAAACGGGTCCGCGGAGAAAACGGGTAGAGGGAGAGAACGGGTCGCGGAGAGAAACGGGTCCGCGGAGAGAACGGGTCCGCGGAGAGAACGGGTCCGCGAGAGAACGGGTCCGCGGAGAGAACGGGTCCGCGGAGAGAACGGGTCCGCGGAGAGAACGGGTCCGCAGAGAGAACGGGTCCGCAGAGAGAACGGGTCCGCAGAGAGAACGGGTCCGCAGTGAGAACGGGTCCGCAGAGAGAACGGGTCCGCAGAGAGAACGGGTCCGCAGTGAGAACGGGTCCGCAGAGAGAACGGGTCTGCAGAGAGAACGGGTCCGCAGAGAGAATGGGTCTGCAGAGAGAACGGGTCCGCAGAGAGAACGGGTCCGCAGAGAGAATGGGTCTGCAGAGAGAATGGGTCTGCAGAGAGAACGGGTCCGCAGTGAGAACGGGTCTGCAGAGAGAATGGGTCTGCAGAGAGAATTTCGCCGCGATCCCAACTGTCTGTTATCAGCCTGCAGCCAGGGAGGAGAGATCAGCAGAGCTGCCTGCACTGAGTGTGTGAGGAAGTCTGTGGATTGGTCAATTTGGACCAATCAGCTGGGGCTTAACGTAACGGCTCCGCGGACGTAACGTAACGGCTCCACGGATTGGCCCATTTGGTTCCGGGTACGGGTGACATCATGCGTACCCGGAAGAATCAAATGGACAGTGACGCATCTCCAACGAGGCGTTTTGAGGAGGTCTTCTCTGTGTTAGAGTGTTACTCGCTACAGGGTGCACTTTGAGGGTTTGTGACTCTGCAGACCGGTTACATGCAGAACAACCTTCATCACAACAAGGGGACGGGTGATAACCGGAAAAGCATGACATGGGACCTTTAACCAGTTAGACCCTACGGCGGGCAAAACGCAACATCTTGCAAGAAACAGCGCCTGAGGTCTTCTTAACATTTAATAAACTATGAATGTGTCATGCCCACTTAACGGGAAGAAACTCAGCTTTCAGACAATATTAACAATTTTTAGCAAAACGAAACAACGGTAATAACAAAGGCTCTGAATTAGCCCTGAGCGAAAGAATGCTAATGCAGTTAGCACAGAACTCACGTTGAAATACCTGTATTACTTATCGTATCTGCACAAACAGGATATGGATTAGCAAGCTGACATTCCACAGATTCCAGACATAGAAGTGTCATCACTGACTCGAGACAGGGGAAGCGAACAGAGACATCACACCACGTAGCTTTACGGAGGAAACGCAGAGAATTTGTCTGATCTTTTGCTGTTTCTGATCAAAAGTGGTCTTCAATGGCATTAAAACGATAAACCCGCTGCTGAAGGGTCATCCAATGTGTCTGTCATCCATCTTTCCATTTTGATGTCAATAAACGAGATTTCATATTAGCTGCTACGATAGCTACTACTTAAATGTCTTAAACTAGTTCAGAATAGTTTCTTTGTCTATTATAAGAATACAAAGAGTTATTTTCTGCTGTCTCTCAATAAACTAAATATTGATCTCAACTGCATCTATAGTTCATACTGTAGTGAGATCCTACTGAAATAGTTATTTGACATATTTAAGACAAACATGACTAAAAGCAGACTTCAATAAGACTCGGTAAAGATCAGAGAGTTCGTTTCTGCTGTGTTTCATTAAACTAAAGATGTATCTCAACCTCACAGACTCTGCTGTACTGAGAGCCTGCAGCTTCTAAAATATTCACTCACTCCTCCAAGGACACAATGAAAGCGAGGAGGGGTTGTATTTAAAGGGGACCTATCACGCAAAATGCAGTTTGTGATGTCTTCTCTCCATCAGCATGTGTCCCCGGTGTGTCGGGGAACTCACGCAGCGTCAGGAAACAAAACCCTCTCTCTTTTCCTCCGTACCCAAATCTCTAAAAACGGGGAACAACGGAGCTGATCCAGATCCCTATCAGAAAGTTGCTATCAGAAACAACGCCCGACTGTTTTGGACGTAATATGGTCGGTGTTTACATTAGCATCGCTAACACTCAGAGCTAACCTGTACTGGAGAAGCAGGAAGTAGAAAGGAACTCACCTTGTGGTATAACCGGCAAGAGAGAAAGCCTTTGAGCTCCAGACTGTTTCAGAGAGAACCCTTGATAATCCATGATATGGCGTTTCATCACGGCAGCATTTAGTTTAGACGGTAGCTGCCGGGTCCCGTGTGAGCTCAGACCCCTCCTCTTTAAAGCTTTATCCCCCAAATCAGCACTTTAGAAACAGGAAGTGAAATAGAGGGATATGAGGCGTGGCTAGAATGATCTGTTTGGTGTTTGGAGCAAAACACTTCATCGACATGTTTTTATATTTTTGTATATATCTGAGAGCTCTGCTGTTGCCCACAGAGAGCATGATAGGTGAGCTTTAAGTATTTTGTTAGATATACGCTTACAATTAAAACAAATGTAATTAATTAAACTAGGACTTGCATAGAAAGGGTTTTCTGTGAATGATGTAAAAATGTAATGACTAAAACATCACATATTTAAGACTGAAATAACTGAAACTACGTTGAAACAGTTAGAATGGACTGAAATGACTTCAAGGCCATTTCATTTATATAGCACTTTCCAGCACGTGGCGATTTGTGCTTGTGCTTTGAACTAAACTCAAATATTAAGGGTTTTCTTTCACTAGGATCTGACTACAATTATTATTGTTAACTAGATTTAAATAGTTAAGACACTTTGACTGATAGGATGCAGCGGTTGTATGGTCATGTGAGCTGCAGTGGAGGAATGGCGTTCTTCTGACCTGAGCTCCAACAATGAAACATATATAATAAAATACAAGTCAAAAATAGTACAAGAAGTCTATAAACACGTAAATATAATATATACAAGAGAATAGTAAGATTAAATTAAATACGATTTATTACGCTGATAACTATTTAGATAAATAAATATATTGCATGATGACAAACAGATGAAGAACGAAGTGACGAAGACACACATGTGGTAAAGATCAGAGAGCTCATTTCCGTCTCAATAATAAACCGTCTTTGATTCGGCAACGCGACATCTTTTGAGGATTAGCTGTTAACTTTTCCCATCAGTGATACGAGGCTTTTGGAATGTGGTGAAGGCCGCTCCTCCGGAAGCATCGAGTGAGACCTTTCGTTAAGGGTCTGCATGCAGAGCCATGCTCTCGCCTCTCTAATGTTTCTTGCATCACAGCGAGAACAAGTCAACACACATCTTCGTGTCCTTAAGCGCACTCATACATCTCTGACCCCTCAAAGCTCTGTGCATACTACGAGCCCACACACACACCACACACACACACACACACACACACACACACACACACACACACACACACACACACACACACACACACACCTCTCTCTCTCTCACACATACTCACACACACACTCACACATACTCACACATACTCACACACACACTCTCTCTCTCGCACACACACTCACACACACACACACACACACACACACTCACACATACTCACACATACTCATACACACACACACATACACACACTCTCTCTCTCTCTCTCACACACACTCACACACACTCACATATACACACTCTCTCTCTCTCTCTCACACACACACACACACACACACACACCACACACACACACACACACACACACACACACACCCACACACACACACACACCCACACACACACACACACACACATGAATTATACTTAAAGTTCAGGGTAATCAACTGTTAAAAAAAAAATTCTCCAATAAATGAATGTTTTCAAAGTCAATGAATAATCGCATTTAATAATTGCAATTACAATTATTGACCCAAATAATCGAGATTATGATTTTTGCCATAATCGAGCAGCCCTAGAGCAGGGTGTACTTTTTATTAGAGATGTGTCTGTTTGTTTTTAGTGTCAGGATCCTTTGTCTTTTTCTCTGCAAACAAAATGTACCCTGACCCTCAGCCACAGTCTGGGCCTTTTACCAACTGATTCTAAGTTCCTGCAGCACTTGAGTCATATTGGCTGGTTTTCTAAAGCCCTTTGAATTGCCTGGTGTTGGATTGTGCTGAAAAATGTACTTGCCTACTTTGAATGCTTTTCTGCAGTTGTAGTTTGGTTTCCTAATGAAGTGTCTCAGCACCCTAAGGTCATTGTCTGTCTCGTGTTTCCTCCTCAGGGTCGCGAGGGGGAGATCCGTCATCTGTTCAGAGGATTCGCCTTCCTCCACTGTAAGAAGCTGGTGGAGAACGGAGGCATGTTCGTCTGCAAGACCCGACACCTGGTGCTGGCCGGAGGGTCAAAGGTCAGTGAGACACAACCCAGGGCTGTTAGAGAGAGAGAGAGAGGGGCAGGAATGAGTCCTTAAAGGTCACCAATTCTGCAAAATCCACTTCTCCATGTCTCTTCTACATCAACATGTGTCCCCTCTTCTACATCAACATGTGTCCCCTCTTCTTCATGTCTCTTCTACATCAACATGTGTCCCCTCATTCTTCATGTCTCTTCTACATCAACATGTGTCCCCTCTTCTTCATGTCTCTTCTACATCAACATGTGTCCCCTCTTCTTCATGTCTCTTCTACATCAACATGTGTCCCCTCTTCTTCATGTCTCTTCTAACGTCAACATGTGTCCCCTCTTCTTCATGTCTCTTCTACATCAACATGTGTCCCCTCTTCTTCATGTCTCTTCTACATCAACATGTGTCCCCTCTTCTTCATGTCTCTTCTACATCAACATGTGTTCCCTCTTCTTCATGTCTCTTCTACATCAACATGTGTCCCCTCTTCTTCATGTCTCTTCTACATCAGCATGTGTCCCCTCTTCTTCATGTCTCTTCTGCATCAACAGGTGTCCCCTCTTCTTCATGTCTCTTCCACATCAACATGTGTCCCCTCTTCTTCATGTCTCTTCTACATCAGCATGTGTCCCCTCTTCTTCATGTCTCTTCTACATCAACATGTGTCCCCCTCTTCTTCATGTCTCTTCTACGTCAACATGTGTCCCCTCTTCTTCATGTCTCTTCTACATCAACATGTGTCCCCTCTTCTTCATGTCTCTTCTACATCAACATGTGTCCCCTCTTCTTCATGTCTCTTCTACATCAACATGTGTCCCCCTCTTCTTCATGTCTCTTCTACATCAACATGTGTCCCCTCTTCTTCATGTCTCTTCTACATCCGCATGTGTCCCCTCTTCTCATGTCTCTTCTGCATCAACATGTGTCCCCTCTTCTTCATGTCTCTTCTACATCAACATGTGTCCCCTCTTCTTCATGTCTCTTCTACATCAACATGTGTCCCCTCTTTCTTCATGTCTCTTCTACATCAACATGTTGTCCCCTGTTCTTCATGTCTCTTCTACATCAACATGTGTCCCCCTCTTCTTCATGTCTCTTCTACATCAACATGTGTCCCCTCTTCTTCATGTCTCTTCTACATCAACATGTGTCCCCTCTTCTTCATGTCTCTTCTACATCAACATGTGTCCCCTCTTCTCATGTCTCTTCTACATCAACATGTGTCCCCTCTTCTTCATGTCTCTTCTACATCAACATGTGTCCCCTCTTCTTCATGTCTCTTCTACATCAACATGTGTCCCCTCTTCTTCATGTCTCTTCTACATCAACATGTGTCCCCTCTTCTTCATGTCTCTTCTACATCAACATGTGTCCCCTCTTCTTCATGTCTCTTCTACATCAACATGTGTCCCCTCTTGAAACAGAGGGGATTATGGGTAATGCTGCAATGATCTGTTTGGTGTTTCAGCCAATCAGAGACAGGCTCCTGATATATCTGAGAGCTGATATGTTGATGAAAGACAGGATGATAGGGGGACTTTAAACCCTTACATGAGTCAGGGTTTCTCCCCTCACTGTTCCCTCCTCTTCACGTCAATGGTTTCCTGAATGTGTTTTTGGTTATAATCAGGTCTGTGTTTAACACGAGCTGAAGAGCTTTATACGTTGTGTTTTACGTCAGTAAACACCCCACTGGTGGATTTTAAAATGGAGGATGCTAACGAGTTTCTAAATGAGACCATGTATCTGCCTGCAGTGATTTAGTGCGGCTCTCACCACATGTGGTCGGGAAGAAGACATTCATAGCGTTGGCAACCGCCTTAATCAGCTCCAAAACACTTAGCTTGTATTGATAATGACAAAAGCTTTATTGTTACACAACCCTGTCGTCAATACTAATCTGTAATTCCTGTTGTTTACGTCCGCGGTGCCATCTTGTATACGGGCGTCATGTTCTCATTTATATAGCGCCACAGTACTCATACTGTCTCTCTCTAGAACCAACACCTGACGCATATACATACGTACAGAGGAAGGAGAGCGTGTGTGTGCTTTTAGTCATTGATGTACGTACAGTGTTAATTAAACCCTCAATGTGATGTTTCCTTCAATATATGTTTGAAATGACTTCCCTTCTGTACATCTGTGAACTCTTTCAGCCCAGAGACGTGACCAACTTCACGGTGGGAGGGTTCGCTCCCATGAGTCCTCGCATCACCAGCCCCATGCACCACGGGGGAGGAAGTGAGTACACTCTAATACAGCAAAGCTAAATGTGTTACAGCCCCAAAAAGAAATGCCTCAAAGCGCTGCGCAAAGACAACATACAAACGTCATCGCATAACAATTATAAAAACATTATACTTAAGCAATAGCTCACTTCAGGCTGTGGTATATGGTCAGTATATCACAGCTAAGGGGCGTGGTCCCCCTAGCTGTGATATACTGAGCATATACCACGGCCTGAAGTGAGCTATTGCTTTTATAAGTAAACGGTTACCAAGTGTGGCAATATGAAAGAAACACGTGTTGTTCAATTGGTTTAAAATGTCTGACGATGGTCTGAGCGGCAGCCGCTGCTTACACTGATATCAATTCAAGGCTTTTAAATGAACTGTGTTTTTTGTTCTGCAGGTTCTCCACAGAGAGGAGGTGGTGGAGGAGGAGGAGGAGGAGGAGGTGGGGGGGGAGGAGGAGGAGGAATGGGGCGGGGCCGAGGACGAAGAGACAACGATCTGATTGGTCAAACCGTCCGCATCTCGCAGGGTCCTTACAAAGGTGAGACACTGGAGACATTAATACAGATTATTAAGGTGTTATTATTTTTAATATTAAACTCCAGTGGTGGAAATGAATTTTTTAAAGATTATTTCTGGCATTTGTCATCATGTATCATACTTTATTTTGCAAACATTTAAACATATTTAAAACTTTGGTACCACTTTACAATAAGACCACCCTTATAACGGATTCATAAAGAGTTTATAATTAGGTTGTAAACACTTTATTAATCATTAAGAACCATTTATAAACCAGTTCTAACTTAGTTTTCATACATCAACACAGGCTCACTATTTGGCAAGATGACTAAGCCTTATATTGCTACTTAGCGAGAATCAACTCGGTGAGGCAACAGATACCAAGGATGCGTGGCTGATGAAGAAGACGAAGTAAGCTGAGGTAGCCAATATAAGGCTTGGCAGTACAGATACATGTGGGCTCACTATTTGGCAAAGATGACTAAGACCTTATATTGGCTACTTACAGTGCAGATTACATGTGGGCTTCACTATTTGGCAAGATGACTAAGGCCTTATTTGGCTACTTACAGTGTAGATACATGTGGGCTCCTATTTAGCAAGATGACTAAGCCTTATATTGGCTAGCTTACAGTTGCGATACAGTGGGCTCACTATTTGCAAGATGACTAAGCCTTATAATTGGCTACTACAGTGTAGATACATGTGGGCTCACTATTTAGCAAGATGACTAAGCCTTATATTGGCTACTTACAGTGCAGATACATGTGGGCTCACTATTTGGCAAGATGACTAAGCCTTATATTGGCTATTACAGTGCAGATACATGTGGGCTCACTATTAGCAAGATGACTAAGCCTTATATTGGCTACTTACAGTGCAGATACATGGGCTCACTATTTGGCAAGATGACTAAGCCTTATATTGGCTATTACAGTGCAGAACATGTGGGCT